TTCAATAGATTATTAGAAAATTTACACAAGATTAAGAATTAGATGTGAGGAATGAAGAAAATTATGTAATTTAAGTTTTCATTTTTCTTAACTAAATTTGTAAACATATCCAATCTTATCTTCCTCAAATTCACCCTCCCAGCAGTCTGGAAATTCAATCTATAACACACATCTGGATATGATGTCCCTGCTAAGACCTATTCATTCTCCCCCCAACTCCAACAGAAGTCCTTGAGTTCACAAACTACCATCTGCTCACATCTATTTGCCTCTCCAGTTTCTCTCTTTCCATTTATATTTCTTTTATGCTCCAGCAACACTGAACCACACCTAATAGTCCCCCCAAATAAAATTGTTTCCTTCCTGCATTACTTTTTCTCTGCTCAAATACCCTCTTGGACCTACCTCCTGTCTAAATAAAAGCCCCTTCTCAAGTTTTCATAAAAAAACAGTGACTCTTGCTGCTTTTCCTTATTATTTCAAGATTGAATGAATATCTGTGATCACATTTAAAGCAAGGACTTAATCTTATTTACCTCTGCAGCATCTAAGCACAGCAATGGTACCCACATAAACTAGTACTAAGGAAATGTTTGTTACACAATGAATAAACTCCAAGGCCAGATACAGGTGAATAATAAGAAACTCTTGGTGTTTCACTGATAAGAAAGTATTTCTGTTCCTCTTTTCAGAGATTGCAGTGAAATGATAAGTGTAGACTAATGTGCTTAGCTCTCTAAATATGGAGAGGCTGGGGGATAAAGTACTACATAAAGTACAAAGATAGCCCTGTTGGGTATGATGCAGAGCACATGTCATTGGAGGATAAAGATCAGGGGGTCAAAGGGCCTGGGGATGCTTGCTGGAGCTAGGTCGTAAAGGCTCAGAGCATGAAGAAGTCACAGAAAGGAAATGAGGAAAGAAAGATCAGAATGGGCAATGACATACCAATGCAAACGAGTCTAGAGGGCAATTAGAGAAAAACATTCTGATAAAATTTAAAGTCTAACTCTCTTCAGATCCTTTTTTATAAATCTTTCCTTTAAATAAATCTTTTTATAAATTTTTCCCATGGACCCTCAGCACACTCAGAGGCTAAGTAAAAGTCCTTAAATGGCGTGTAAGTAAAAGTCCTTAAATGGCGTGTAAGTCCTCATAAGGCCCAATATGGCCCAATTCCCAGAACCCTCGATTCATTCCCTTCTACTTTCTACCTATTCTCTCTGCTCAGGAGCACTGGCTTTCTACCAGATACACTCTCTCCTCAAGGATTTTACTTGTAATAGCTGTTCCTTCTTGGAATGGTCTTCCCTGTATATCCATAGATATATTCCTCACTACTTGGGCCTCTCCTCAAATCGCTCCATTATGTGAGGCCTTCCTTGACAACTACATCTAAGGTTCAACTCCTTCCCCCTGATAGTTATCTGTTCCCTTCTCGCTGATATTTGTTCTTCTTATGAAAACCTAACATCTTATTTAGTTTATGTATTAATTTCTTTATTGTCTGCCTCCCTCATCAGAATGTACACTCCGTAAGGTGGGGATTTTTTGACTATTTTGTTTATGATATTATAGGCACTTGATAAATATTTGTTGAATGTGAATGAATGAAAAGTCTGCATATAGATTTCTCCAACCATTGTAAACACTGTAACCTACAGTCAAGAGTTCTTATTGCATCTGTCATTTATCTGTGACACAGGTGCAATAAGGAAAGATTTCACTACCTCAAAGGCTGTTTTTCAACTGAAAGAGAAACTGAGGAAACATATGGAGATGTGCATGACCCTATTTTGAATTGTAGGGCTTCTTTTTTTGTGTATCTTGGTTTTTAAAGAAGATGTGAACTCCAAGAGCCCAAGAAGCATAACTTCACCCATTTACCTGCCGTGTACTGCAGAGTGGCTAATGAAGAAACACACTACCCCTGGGGCCAAACGGGAAAACCTGGGGTGGCCGAAAAAAGCAAGCCACATTGTCAAGAGACCTGTGTGATGTTAATGGCAGAGGAAAGGAGCCCTTTGAGATTGCCCCACTAGAAAGAAACAGTAGGAAGCTATGAGAGTGGCACACAGTGGACATGGAAATTTTATTCCTCTGCTGCCAAGTCCCTGGGGCCTCAGCTCCTACTCCCACAGCCTGTTCCCATGGGCCTTCCAGGGAGCGTTATAAAAAAAAAAAGCCTGTTACAGAAATAGAAGGCCAACTCCAGCTGCTTTCTCTGAATTGGACTCACCATTCTCAGGTGAGTATATCCTCACCTGGAGCCTGACAAACTAAGGCTCCTGCCAGTCTCACAGACCTTGAAGCTCCCACAAACTGATTCATGATAGGACAACACTTGTAACCTACCCACACCTTCACAGACTTAAAAAGTCCCTTGGCTGCCAGTCCAGAAAGACAGGTAAGAATGAACCTAGCTGTCACATTCAGATCCAAAGAGAAGCTGAAGCTGGGTATAGCAAGGAGACTCTTCAGGCAGGAAGCCAGAAAACATGAGGTCTTCTTGGATAGAGACATTGGGAGACAAGATGACTGGCCAGAGTTCCTGGACTTCAGTAAGGAAGTACATGTACCAGCAAAGCAGAAAAGGTGCTCTGTGAAGAGAGGGGTTAAGGATCCTGTGGCCAGCAGAGGCTCTGCGTCTATCAGCACAGGGAAATATCATGCTCTCCTTGATACCCGTCCATGATGGACTACTCTTCACCCTGGGCCCCACTGCTTTTGGGCATAGTGACCTGGCCTTTCTCCAGAAATGGTTCCTTGGCTCTGTCTCACATTGTTCAGCATGATTTGTTTGAATTACTACATCCCCCCACAAGTTCTTTATCATAGAGACATAGATGGATGGATCCAAGATACCAGCTCCTCTATCTTCCTGAAGAATATAATTGTTTGCCTCTGAAAAGTGCTCTTTGTGTTTAAATAACACTGGTAGAATAATTGGGATTTGATATTTGTCTAGAAAGAGAAGCTATTGTGCCTCTGTACAAATTCTAAACATGGAGAAGAGAAAATAGACGTGAACCCTGGATCTGTTTGCCCTTGCTCATCCAAGACGGGGAGAATCCAATTCAAATCTGTTAGTATTCACTTTATCATATCATATTTTAAGACTGCTGGTCTCTAAACCCCTCTCCATTAAGGCACATTGAAGGGTATCTCCCAGCTGTAATAAAAACCCAGGTTAGACATAAAAAAATCCTTCGAGGGATCACATGAAAACCTGAATACTGTCAGTGGAAACACCTGAAGAATTGATTTCCAAGAGTCAGAGCCTCCTTCTAAATTGGCTTTTTAGAGACAATTACCTCTTAAGGCCTGGTACTAAAGGAATGTAGCAGAGAAAAAGATTAATAAGATCAGAGCCCAGGTGTTTGAGTGGAGTAGGAGGTTGGGACAAAGCAACATAGGGCTTCCAAAAATGCAATATCATCCTTGACATGAGCAATTTGTTAAGACAGGTTCTAGGAAAGACAAAGATCTCAAAATATCACTGTAAAATCAGGACTTCCAAAATCAGGACTCAAACCAAGCTCTCTTTGGGGGAAATGGGAATGGTTTAGAGGCACCTTTCAGGTGGGGTGGTATCTAACAGGCAGGAGCAGAGTGAAGAGTCTGCACAGGGAACATGCTAGGATCTGCTGGGAGGCAACCTTGGGGTGAAGAAGTTATCACAGGAAGTAACTACCTTTGATTTTACAATTCCAGGTGAGTTTTCTTTTTTCCTTAAGAGATTGACTTTGGGCCTTTTTCTCTTACCTGTGGTTTGTTTTCTTTTTCTTATTTTTCCATTGCAATTGCATTTGTTTTCCCACTTGCTGATCTTAGAACTAAGGACCAACTATTTACCTAGAAAACCTGTGATGTTGCCTATCCCCACTGCCTTGCTTTTACTCCCTTCTTTAACTTTCTCTCATGTTTCAAGACTGAACAAAAGAATCATTTTTTTCCAGGAAGTTTCCTCTGATCATGCCTCTCCCCCTCCAATGCATTCAATGTGTACTTTATGCTAGCACTTATCACAATACTCAAATTCATT